GGACATGCTCCAACCCACGAGTGCTCTTTCTGAAATGTGCCATAGCAACCTTCAACCTTGAAATCATGGGAACCTTAGGACTGGAAGGTACCTCAGAGATCATCCATTCCAACATCCTCTTCTTACAGATGAGGAACCTGAGGTTTGGAAAGGGTCATGAATAGACCTTCAAGATTATCTTATTTGACAAAGGAGATAACAGAGGTACAAAAGATTTCCCCATGCCCATACAGGAAGTAACGAGCTCAGCATTTAAGCTCCAATGACATTCTGACTTCAAATCTAATGTTCTTTCTGCTTCCACAAGGCCACATGGTTAATAAGGGGCACAGCTGCTCTTGAATCCAGGTCTTTTCTGACTCTGAATCTGACACCTTCTCTAGGTAATGTTATTACCATACATTACCTCATTTTATAGGAGCTAATAAGGGACACACCTGAAATCAATAAAATCATGAAATAAATAAACAGCTGACTAATAAAGCAGTCTGGTACACTAGAATCCAAGGTCTCATCTCCCTTGACCACCATGTTGCTTAAAATTTAAGATGACAAAAGACATTCCCAACCTCTCAGTAAAGAAGCAGGAGACTACAGATGGGGGCTGCTGTATAGGCTGTCAATGGAAGTTTTTGTTTGTTCAGCTCTCCCTTTATTAGAAGAGAGGGTTCTATGGCACAGAGGAGCTTATTCATTAGTGACTATTTCTGAAAATCAATAAAATGTAAAAAGAGAATTGGAAGCAAATAGGTGGTTTTTACATTTCATCCATATAACAATAATTATCTATTTAGAATAATAACTAGCATTTACATAGCATGTCACAATTTGCAAAGAGCTTTATATTACCTCATTTGATCCTCACAACAACCCTGAAAACATCTCCATTTCATAGACGAGGAAATCAAGGCAGACAGAAGGTAAGTGACTTACCCAGGGTTACAGAGCTAGTAAATGTCTGAGGCTGGATTTGGACTCAGATCTTCCTGACTTTAGGCCCAGACCTCTTATTCATGGTACCCTCCAGCTAGCTGCCTGTAATATCAGGATAGTGTCCTTGTCATTTCTTACTGGATTATCTGTCAAGACAACAAACATCTGCAACCTATTCATTCACTTTAAAACTCCAAGGATATATGACTTGATTTATTCAGGGCTTCCCTCCACCAATGCAGATGCAGGTCACAACCTCACACACCCATCTGGCTTGGCTTAGGTTTCACCTATTGCCGTGACCAAAAATTATTCCAAAGGGGTGGGGAATGTCTATGGAAGAGCTTCTTTTCTGTTAGTAGTGAAGTTGGTACTCAGTTGAAGATTAAAAAACTTCTCCCAGATCATTTGAATGTTTTGTCAGCCAAATAAAACATTTTTTATGTAGCCAGAAAAAAAAATAAAAAACCATTCACTGCTGGCAAACCTTCCAGTAATGAGCCTCTCCAAGTGTGATCCTTAGAAGACATCAACATAGAATTAGGCTAATTCTCAAAGTTTTTCTCTGGCTAGGACAGATGTACCAGAACTAGCCGTCTGCTTGGCATAATCCTAAATCAAAAGCCTCTATACCACAGTGAGGCATCAAAAAAGGACTGTACGCTCTCCACATAACTGCACAAATATTTTTACTCAAAAGAGAGATCTGCCATATTGTTCTAACATAGACTGTGCTATTCTCCCCAAATGTAGCCTTTATAAAACTCGAGAGCTGCCTGATTGCCCTCTAAATACACATCATGGGAAGAATGAGAAAAGAACAACACAATCAAAGTGCCAAAGATAAAGAGAGCAGTGATGATTAGAATGAATAAAACATTTTTAGTGGAATTAAAGGCAATGTTTGAAAAAAGAAAAAACTTCTGTAATAAATAGAGGCAATATGGCATAATGGAGAGAGAGCTGGCCTCAAAGGCAAGAAGACCTGGGTTCAAATTTTGACTCTGATAGATATTGGCTGTGACCCTGGGCAAGTACTTAGTATTCCAAAGCACCTAAGACTTCATGCTAAAGAGAAGATGCTAAATGCATTAGAAGGGTGAGTATCCTCACCTACAGGCTCATTATACCAAGGAAATTACATGTTCAGTCCCTGTCCCTATGTCTTTACAGTAAACATGCACACATTTACATGGAAATTTTATGTAATTTTAAGTGTATGTGTGTAATTTTTTTTCCTTTTAAAAACCCCATTTTATGGCAGTAGCTTTGTATTTTAAGAAAACCTATATTCAAAATAAATGTGATAATATTAAACTAATGTAATCAATTATTCTTCAACTAAAAATAAAATATTGCCCCCCCCAAAAAAATGTTTCAGTGGAAAGGACAATGAATTTGGACAAAAGACCTGGCAATGAATTTAAAGTCAGAAAATCTGGGTTTGCTCCTTAGTAGCTGTGTAACATCATACAAGACACTTCAGCTCTCAGTGTTCCCTCAGTCCTGTCATTTGTAATGAAAGGGCTAGGGCAGATGATTTTTAAGTTCCATCTCTGTTTCCAGTGACTAAGCTGGGCTAGAACCTGGGTCTCTTAAATCCAGTCCTGTGCTCTTTCTACCACATAGTGTTGCACTGAAAGTGGATGTGGGTAATGCAGCATTACCATAAACTTGTTTTGAAAAACAAACAATATTTTAAAATACTCTTAGTCTCATAGACCATCCGTGAAAGACCTGAGTTAAAATTCTAGTTCTTCTTTATTACATGACTGTGAATGAGAAATAATCTCTCTCTGGAGCTCTGTTGCCTCCTCTGTAAAGTAAAAGGGTTTAGCTAAGTGATCCTTAGGGTCATTTCCACCTATGAATCCTTTGAAAACCTCTTTATGTGTAAACACGGCTATTGCCCATTTTAAACAAATAAATAGACACAGTTTGCATGATGTCACCCACTTCAGAATATGAGCTCCTTGAAGACAGAGACTGCCTAGCTCTTCTCTTCATACCCCAAGTCTAATAGCAAAGTGCCTGCTATAGAATAAGTGCTTAATTTGTGCTTGTTGCTTGATTTAAATTAAAAAAAAACAAAACTAGATGAACAGCAGCCATTAGGTTATTCCAGCCCTTCCATTACTCTTCATATGGATAACTCCCCATAGCTGAAGAGTAATCTTAATGGCAAAAATGTGGACAGAGAAACCTCATTAGACTTTTGCTGCAACTGCTGAAAGCTCCCAGACTAATCAAAGTGTGGTATCATGAATGGAAAGACTGTTGGGTTAGAATTGGAGGACTTCTGAATTTAAATCTTCGCTCTGCTGCTTATTATTTGTGTGATCCTGGACAGATTATTTAACCTCTGTAGGTCTGAGTTTCCTCCTTTATGAGATATGTCCCTTCCAGTTTCAAATCCATGTGATCCAATGATAGCTGTATTTTAACATCTACCTAGAAGAGGGTAATGGAGCTTCCCTCTTCCTCTTGCCCCTCCAAAGGCACAGAGCTATTTCTAGTTCTTAAGAAGTAGAAAAAAATGTCCTATCATGAAAATCCTACAGAAAGAATACGCAACCCAATCTCTTGGAAGCATTGGAAGAACCATATTTGTGAAACAAGTAAAAAATTTAAGCCATCTTTTTTTTTTAGTTATGCTTTCAATTAGCTTTAAGTCATAATACATCAGAAAATTTCTACATGTATACTATTTTGTGATTTGCTAAACTATTGTAGTAAGAGAAGATTCTTAGCTTCCTACAGAGGAGGAATTTTCATAAAATTTACTCTATGTAGGAAAATAGTATAACTATTAAGAGATCACAGGCCTCACAGGGTTTGTTTGGATCCAGGAGGCAGCTTAGAGGCCTGCTGTTCCAACCCCCCCCCCCATTTTACAGTTGAGGATGGTGGGGTACAGGGAGGGGAAATGAACTGAACTGCCCAAGGTCACACAACTAGTACTTGACAAGAACCATGATTTGAAACAGGTCCCTTTGACTTCACAACCAATTTTTCTTAGTAAATTTTCTTCTTTATTTTAAACTTAACCATCATCATCAATCACATATATTCCAATATACAAAGAACAAAAAAAAAAGCATTATCTATGATACTGAGAACCTCTTTACAAAGAGTTTGTTTTTCAAAACAAGTGTAAAGTAACACTTCGCCACCCTCGAATACCATGGAAGCAACACCGTGGTAGAAGGAACACAGGACTGGATTGAGGAGACCTCGGTTCAAGCAAGACTTGACCTCTAGAAAGGAGAAAGGAGCTTGGAGATCATCTACTCTAACCGCCTTCTTTTGCAGTTGAGAGTACTGAAGCCCTGAGAGGTGAAATTTCTCACACAAGATTATTCAAGTATTAAGGAGTAGAGCAGGGATTCAAAGTCATGTTTTCTGCCTCGAAATGCAATGCTCTTTTCTTAGGGAAGCCACTTATCTGGGGAGCAGTTTCCTTCTCTAGAAAATGAACAGGTTGGATGAGATGATCTCTAGTGTCCTCATTAATAGACTAATACTACTACTAATAGTAATAATGATAACAATAACAATATCAGCTACTAATTACTCTAGGGTATTAAGATTTAAAAGTGCTTTTCTCACAATTTACCAATATACAGGTAATATAATATATAAGTAATAATAGGTAACATAAAATGTATAAAGGTAATATAAATAATATAATTCTCATTTCACAGAATGCAAAGTTGATTGTTACTTGCACAAGGCTCCAAAGCTAAATAAGTATTGAAGCCAGGTTTCAAACATTCAACTCCACTGTATCATCCTGTCTCTACCAGACAATGAACTCCTTGAGGGCAGGGACCACGTTTTATGTGAACTTCTTGCCTATTCCAGCACCTGTGCTGTCTACACAGTAGAGACCTATTAAGTATTGTGTGCTATGACTCTATATCACGCCACCCAGCTCCACTCAGTTTATTAAAAATGTGGTTATCTTTAGAAGATTAAAAACAGTCACATAAGGGATAAAGAAACATCCAAGACGACTGTAAATATCTGGTATTCAGCTCATCAATGAAAAGCACTATTGAACTTACATTTTCTTTAGAAAATGATCTTGTGAAACACAGGTATCTGGTAACCTTGGATTTAAATAAGCCGTCTTTCCAGAGGTCAGCATCCACACCATCTGCCGTCTGTGCAACCTGTGCCAAGGAGACAGAGAGAAGGAACTTAGGGAAGCCAGGGTAAAAGCAAGTACATGTGCACAGCGGCTCCTGTATGCCGATTCCAATTAACACTGGCCCGAACTCTCATGGCATCTCATTAGTTCATTTCATTCGGCACAGGGAAAAGAATTTCCAAAAGGAGAAGGCGAGCGAGAGTGTGAAAAATACAACTTCTAAAAATACTGTCCCTGGGGAAGCAATTGATTAAAGACACCCGAACAAAGAGGGTTCTAATGAGAAAGGAGCAACTTTTGTTCTAATATACCAAGAAAGGATCTGACAAGTCAGCACATTAAGGTGCTCATTACTGCTCACTCAGGGGGACAGTTCAGCAGTAGGAAATGTCCAAAGGGGTCAGAGAATTTAGGGTTGGAAGGAGCCTTAAAGATCATCTAGTTCAACCCCTTCATTTTATAGAAGAGTAACCAGAGGTACAGAAAGAAGTGACCTGTACAAGGTCATTCAAATGGCAAGTGGCAGCACAGGGATTTGAACCCATGTCCTTTATTTACCTCCAGGATCCAGGGCTCCTTCCACTACACCACACTCTGAAATGTTACCAGAGAGATACACAGAGTGATGTGACACAGCTCTTCAGCTCTTGGAACCTGGGTGGTTAAATTAATAGGAATTCTAGACTGTAGTGTCTAGGAAGATCTAGAAATAGAACCAGTGGGGGTTATGCAGGCAGATCAAAGATGTAGGCTTCCTTGCCTGAAGAACCTTAGAATCAAGTTAACAGTCTTAATGCCAGGCATCTCTTCTTACCTCTGGCTGCTTTAGCTACAATCCACAGGGTGCCTTCCACTCAAGACAAAGTGGAAAAGGGAATGGTCAATAACACTCATCTTTAAACCTCCTCACCCATACAGGAGAGGTGAGATGGGAACATGGGTGCCCTGCCTCAAAACTAGTCAGGCTCCACCAGGATTTCAACCCCATCTAGGATGCCCACCCAACCAGAACTTCCTTTATCATCACTTTAAGGTGGATGAAAGGCTTGGGCAGGGCAGGGGCTGAGATTGGAGTACCTGAGAAGTCTGAAAGGGCATAGCTGGATATTCAAAGCACAAGCTCTTAACCTGGGGTCTGGGAACTTTTTCTTTAAAAAAAAGTTTTTTAATAACTATTTCAATATAATTCAAATACTACATGTTTTATTTTATGCATTTAAAAAATGCTACCCTGAGGAGTCCACAGCCTTTACCAGATTGACAAAAGGATGTTCAAAGAGAAGTATAATTTTGCAAAAGTTATCAGACACTAATGCTATATCAATTTTTTAAAAAAATTTTCCTCAGGGCAGCTAGGTGGCACAGTGGACAGAGCTCTGGCCTTGGAGTCAGGAGGACTCAAGTTCAAATGTGGCCTCAGACACTTGACATTTACTAGCTGTGTGACACTGGGCAAGTCACTTAACCCTGATTGCTTCACCAAAAAGCAAAAAAAAAAAAAATTCTTCATTACAAGGAAGATTTCAATGTGTATGGGAGGAAGTAATAAGATAGACAGCTGTAGGGGCAGCTAGATGGCACAGTGGATAGAGCACCGGCCCTGAAGTCAGGAGGACCTGAGTTCAAATCCAGCCTCAGACCCAAACACTTGCCACTTACTAGCTGTGTGACCCTGGGCAAGTCACTCAACCCCAATTGACTTAAAAAAAAAAAGACAGATAGCTCTGTGTGTGTCTCTGTGTGTGTGTGTGTGTGCATGTGTGTGACTCAGGAAATTACTGTGGTTTAAAAAACACAAAGTTTTATTATCATTATTATTATTGTTGTTGTTGTTGTTGTTGTTGCTGTTGTTAAGATCATTTAGAATGAGAGAAGTGCCAAAGGACTGGAAAAGAATAAATATTGCTTTAATTTTATTTTTAAAAAAAGAGTGAATTCTGTAAACCGTAAGTCAGTGAACTTGAACGATTTCTGACAAAATTCTAGAACTTACTGTTAAAGGAATGGCTTGTGCATATCAATAAAATGTGACGCCAAAAGAAGTTAAGAACCCCTGTTCTAAAGGCACTGGTAGCACTGTTGTCACAACAGTGTCACCCTCCCACCTTGGAGAGTCAAGGAGCTTTCCTGCTGCTGAGTCTTCTCAAAAGCTAGAGAAGACAGATGTCCAAGACAGTACAGACACTAAGGGAACATGGCCCATTACCATGTGTGCCCTTCTGCCACAGCAGGCTATTAAGCTCCCATCCTCATCATCTCTGCTCCCTGGCTCAGGTGCTGGCCCTTCAGCACCCTCTGCCTGGAAGTTGATCTTACCCACAATTAGCATTAATAGATAGATCTATATCTATATCTATATATACATCTATATCTATATCTCTCTATATAGCTATTTATATAAACATCTATGTCTATATATAGATCTATCTATTAATGCTGATTGTGGGTGAGATCGACTGACTAAATATATGTATATAGATACACATATATATGTATATACACACAGAAGATCTACATGTGTATACACACATATGTACATATAATACACGCATGCATGCATGCATGCATGCATACTCCCAGCTGATATCTGCAGTCTAAGAGGGTTAGTAGTGGCATAGAGGAAAGGCCTATGGGTAGGGAAGGCATGTAAGGGTTAAGAGTCCAAATAGATCTCGGTAGGCTAGAACAACAATAGGCTAAGATAGGCCAACTCTATTAAGATGAAATTTAATAGAGATCACTATAAAGTCCCACAATTGACATAGGTGTGTGTGTGTTTTAATCACTTTCACAATTATAGGATGGGCAAGGCATTACTAGACAAGAATTGGTGTAAAAAAGATCTGGGAGTTTTAATGGACCACAAACTCAATATAAGTCAACAGCCTTACATGGCAGCCCTAAAGCTAACATGAACTTGAGCTACAATAAGAGGGGTATTGCATCTAAAAGAGAGGAGGTAATGGCCCTTCTTAGACCACATCTGGAGTATTTTGTTCAATTCTGGGAACCAACAAACTAAAAAGCATCTAGACAAGTGTGACCAGAATAGTAAAAGGCCTTGAGATTATGCTACATAAGGATTAGCTGAAGAAACAGTTTAGCTTTAGAAAAAGATTACTCTGTAAGTGTGTGTGAATGTGTGTGTGTGTGCATATGTGTGTATGTGTTCATGCACATGTGTATGTTTGGGGTAGGAAAGGTAAGAGCTGTCTTCAAGAACTTGAAGGATTGTTGTGTGCAAAATGGATTAGACTAATTTTGCTTGTCTCTTGAGAACAAAAGTAGGAGCAATGGATAGAAGCAAGGAGAGAAGATTTACGATGAACATAACAGAACATTTCCTGATAATTATATTTTTACCAAAATGGAATGGACACCCTCAGGAGACAGTGAGTTCCCCCCTTACTAGAGGTCTTCAAGTAAAGGGTAGGTGGCTACTTTTTAGATACCATGCAGAGGGTAATCTTGCTCAGATAATATTAAACCTGATGACTTCTTAACTCACTTCCATGTAATTCTGTGGTATCAGCATGTTATGTGTAAAGGGAAGCAGATCTGTACTAGGAAGGAGTAAGAAATGGTTGGTTAGGTCAGAAAATCTCTGTAAAAAGGGAGTGATTGTCTGTGATTCTCCTATTTTCCCCAAATGGCTCATATGCAAGAAAGGCTATAAAAGATATCAAAGAGACATACAATTAGAAAAGGAGGTGGGCCACACATGTAGCCAGACAGAGTAACAATGCATGGACAGTCCAAGTATTGCACTGCTATCTACAAAAATCCAAAAAAGAACCATAGGAAGATCTCTAGTGCATTGGGTGGGTCCTTAATGGGAGAGTCAAAGAAAGATATGAGTAAGAATCATGAAAGATGAGAAGATGTGAAGTAGAATAGAATTCATTATCTTTCCCTCCAAACTCTCTCCTCTTTCAAACTTTCCTAGTACTGTCTTGCCAGTCACAAAGGCTTGTAACCTCATGATCATTCTCAGCTCACTAGTCACACTCACCCACGTATTCAATTGGCTGTCAAAGTTTGTCATTTCTACCTTTACAATATCTATTGTATATGTCCCTTATCTCTATTCACAAAGCCACCATCTTAGTTCAGGCCCTCTTCATCTCTTGCTTGAACAATCACAATATCCTTCTAACTAGTCTCCCTGCTTCAAGTCTCTCTCCATGCTAATCCATTCTCCACTCAGCTGCTAAAGTAATTTTCCTAAAGCACAGGTCCAACCATATCACCACCAGTCCACACACACACACACAGTAAATTCCACTTTATTACCCCCATAATTGAATATGAAATGGTCAGTCTGGTACTTTAAAACCCCTTAAAACCTTGCCATTTCCTATCTTTACATTAGTGCCCTCCATGAATTCTATGATCCACCCACCCTGACTTACTCCATCTCTCCCAGGCCTGGAATGCTCTCTCTCCTTACCTCTAACTCTTATTTTCCCTGGCTTCCTGCCAAACGCAGCTCAATTCCTACCTGCTACAGGAGGCCTTTCTTGTTTCATTCTCTAGAATATTACTCCCTAGAGATTACCTTCCATTATACTGTATACAATGAAGTCCCAATTAGTACAAATAATGAATCTCCTGAAGTGGTCACATTATTTGAATTTGTATTGCATACTCCCATTGGGCTGGAACTTTATATAAATATAACTTCAATAGTATGAACCTGCAACCACTTCAGAGGATTCACTATTTGAAATACTCAGGACCTGGCTACATAGTTTGTCAGTCAATAAATATTTATTAAGCATCTACCATGCGTCTGGAGCAAGTGCTGGGGATACAAAGAAAGGCAAAAGGCAGCTCACAGTCGAGTGGGGGAGACAATATGCAAACAACTAGATGCAAACAAGCTATATACAGGACAAACTAGAAATAATCAACTGAGGGAAGACACTGGAATTGAGGAGGATCCAAAAAGGTTTCCTATACAAGGTGGAATTTTAGCTGGGACTTAAAGGAAGCCAGAACCCCCAGAAAGTGGAAGTGAGG